CTGGGCTTCATGGATCTGCAGATTAGGTTTTCATCAAATTTAAGCAATTTTTGGCAATTACTTCTTCAAATATATTTATTAATCCTTTTCTTTCTTTCTTCTGGGGCTTTCCTTCCATATGTGTTGGTACACTTATCATTGATCTGGTCTCAGGCTTTGTTCATTTTCTTCATTGTTTTTTTTTTTTTTTTCTTCTCCCTCTCTGCTTGAGATTGAGTAATTTCTGTTGATTCTTCAAGTTCACTGATTCTTCTGTCATCTCAAATCAGTTGAATTTTCCATTGTAGGTACTGTATTTTTCAGCTGTAAGTTTCCATTCAATTCTTTAATTTACTTTGTATCTTTTTATTTTTTTATTTTTATTTTTTAAAGATTTCTTTATTTGACAGAGAGATCATAAGTAGGCATGTAGACAGGCAGAGAGAGAGGAGGAAGCAGGCTCCCTGCTGAATAGAGGAGCCAATGTGGCCTCGATTCCAAGACCCTGAGATCATGACCTGAGCTGAAGGCAGAGGCTTAACCCACTGAGCCACCCAGGCACCCCCGTATCTTTTTATTGAGACTCATCATGTGTTGGGTCATTTTCACCATGGTTTTCAATACTGTTTCCATTAGTCTTTGACCATGTCCATGTAGCTGCTTTTACATCTTTTCTGAATCTACCATCTGGAAATACTTAGGTGGTTTCTCCTTAATGCTTTTTGTAATAAGGGTCACCTTTCTTGTCTCTTTGTTTTATAATCTTGTTAAATTTCAGGTAATGTAGCATTTAGGGGTTCTGATTTCCTCCCCAGGGGGTTGTCTTGTTTTGCTTAATGACTTGCCTCCAGTAAATTTCTGAAGTCTGTCTCTCCTGCAGTGCGCAGCCATTGATGTCTCTGTTCATTTCTTAAATTTTTAAGTCTTGCTTCCGACATGTTGCTGCTGTGCCTGCATCCTTTAACATTTAGCCAAAGATTGGGCAGATGTTGTGTGCAGACCCCATTATTCATGCTTTCAACTCTGCGGATGGATCTGTGTGGGCTTCTAAGTCCATTCAACATTTGGGTCACTTTCAAGGCTGCCTGGTTTCTGCTTTCTAACAAGCTTTTGGCTTCTTTGCGTGTATGCGCATGGCTTGGCAACCATGGGTATGTGGGTGGCTTGAACCAGCTTCAGTTTCGACTGCTTGCCCCAGGTAAACCTGGAGTTTATGTGGACTGCTTATCACATTCAGATGGCTCTCGGACCTCTCAGAGCTTACAGTTAAATACCTTGCTACTCTTATCTTGTTTCCTCCAAGCATTGCAGGTTGCAGCATTGCAACCTCAGGCTAGAGAACTCTGTCTGCTTAGCATAGATGCCACCTCTTGGACTTACTCTGCCTCAGGTCAGGCAAGTCCCTTCTCTAAGTGACAAGTTTCTGGCATGGGCAGTGAGAGCACAGCACAGACTCACCCAACTCTAATCAAACTTCAGTAATATTCATGAATAAACACTTCTAGTTTGTTGTAGGTCTTCAGAGTCTTTAAAATAATATTATCCAGATTTATAGCATCGGAGTGGCGAGCCGAGCAGAGTCCCTGCGGCACTGAGTTCTGAGAGGCTTGGGCCTCGCACATGCGCTTTGGGCACCTGTAGTCACTGCCCTTTGTGCTGGCGTCATGGTTACCGTTGCTAGGTGCTCCAAGAATCCAAACTGTTGCACTGTGGGTTTGGCTTATCTCTAGCGCTGGTGCTGGTGTCTAGAAGCGGCAAAAAGCCGAGTGGAAGGTGAAGTGTTGGTGAAGCCTGTAGGCTTTGCAATGAAGAAGTTTTTTGGTTTCGGGACTGGGAAGGGGCATTCATCCCCAGCCTTTCGCACCGAGCTGATGAATGGCTTGGGGGCCCGGTTTGAGAAGAAGGAAGAAGTCAATGAGTCCCCGCGGAGGTATAACGTCCGCGTGAAAGATCTCAAAGAGATCCACAGAGCTGCTGTCATGGGCAACATATTGAAAATGCGGCGGTTGCTAATGCTTGGGAAAGACGTGAATAAAAGAGACAAGAAGAAACGGTAATAGGGATGTAAGGGGCTGCTTAGCCAGAGGGAGTCATTTTGTGTTTATGTAGTGAACTTAGATTGACCCCGCCCCTCCCAGAGGAACTTACTTGCAAAGCCTAGATACAAGGGCGGGTCAGGCCAGGTGAAGACATCCAATCAGTGGGGTGCACATATATCTACTAGGGTAAATTGAAATTCAATATTCCACTCATTTATCTACTAGGGTAAATTGAAATTCAATTGGCCACACAGAGAAAACCCATAGCAGTTTTCTCTGTGTGTTGCAGACCTAGCATGACTGGGCAGTTTTCTCTGTGTATTGCAATCTCATTGGTCACCTGTGTATAGCACGGCTAAACTACCTTTAGAAAAGTCTGAGAGGCTGGGAGGGGTTACCTCTTTGCAAGAGAGGGCCCTGATTGGTCAGTTTGATTCTCGATGCTTGGGGCCAAATAAAGCTTTGCTTGACTTTCGCTTTGTATCAGTCTCATTCCTTTGATTACGGACCCTAACAGGGACTTGGAAGCTGGCAGCCCCAAATGGCGGGGAGTAGGTGGGAGGACCGGGAGAAATGCCTGTGGAGCGGAGCCCTTCTGTCACCTAGGGCGCTTGGCGGTCTTCCCTCCTGAGGCCGGGCAGCAAGGGGTCTAGCGCCCAGGCTGGCTGTCTGAGCAACAAAACAAAATCCTCAGCTGCCTTTGGACCCACTCATAAGTCCCCATATAGGTCACTTAACAGACAGCTTTGATGGATTGAACCACATTTCAATAGTGATAGAAAAGAAATGAAGTATATACAGTATTTTACTTTATTTTTTAAGATTTTATTATTTGACACAGAGAGAGAGACACAGAGAGAGGGAATACAGCAGAGGGATTGGGAGAGGGGGAAGCAGCCCCCTACCCCCAGCAGAAAGCCCGATGTGGGGCTCGATCTTAGGACCCTGAGATCACGACCTGAACCCAAGGCAGATGCTGAATGACTGAGTCACCCAGGCGCCTCCAGTGTTTTATTTTTAATGGACATCTTTTTATACGATAATGTTTTAAAAAAAAAGATCTATTCCCATAATAGATCAACTTCTGGGCTACAAATTCTTTCGATAAAACCCAATATATAATTTATATTCTGTGTCCACTTTGTATGTATGTTATTTACTGACTGGCTGTCAAGAAATTTTGAATTGGGAAGATGGTTCTGTTTGTGATTAGGAAGACGTATTTCTCAAAATGTGTAGTCTTCCTGTATTTATCGACATTCCATAAAGCAAATAAAATCATCATGGTTTTAAGAATTTTGTGTTACACCTGCTCTCTTTTATCATTGTGATGACATTAAGAAAAATTTTGGAATCACTATAGTGATACACCTGAAAGTAATATAACACTGCATGTTAACTGGAATTAAAATAAAAACTTAAATTTTTATAAGTAGACAGATTTACCCTTCCAGATATCAAAATGTATCTTAAATTTCCACAAATTACACGGTTACTAATAGCTGAAAGGACAGATGAATGAATGGGGCAGAGTAGAAAATGCCAAACATCCAAATATGGTGACATTTCATATTAGTAGGAAAAGGTGAATGATTCATAAGTGGTGAAGAAATATCTGCTATTTATTTATTTATAATGGTATTAAATACTTATATTGATAATTGGTAATTCTTGATTTTCATATGATCTATAAATCTAAATAATAAAATGAAAAAAATAATTTCATCATTTAATATAATGTATATGAAAATATAAATATATGATATATTTATGTATAAGATATATAAAATATATATTATTTAATATATAAAATATATATAAAATACATAATGTATAAAAATAAAAGTGTTCCTGTTTATTTGAATCCTGAGCTTCCTTTGGCTTAAAGTTTCTTGAAAATCAGAGTGAAGAATTACTTAAAAAGAATTCTTTCTTATTTTAGTCCTCTTTTCCCATAATGCTTTCAAGAACTAAAATTTATTTAAATGACAACCACGTGACTAGAACTGCAGTAGAGCTGTTGTATGTATATACCATTATTTCATTTAACGTAAGGCACATTGATTGTGTGATGCCCCACCATTTTATATACCAATAAGAAATCTTTAAAAATTCTGCCAATTATAGTTGTAAGACATTTTGAATTATAAATCGCATTCCAGTGTCAGAGATACTAAAAGGTGACAAAATGAGCCTCCTAGAATCATTGATATATAGTATTCTTGTGAATATTTAAAACATATCTGAGAAATAGGCATAATTGGATCACTTTAGCTAATGGGAATGTTGTCTTTGTACAATAGTAGCAATAGTAATAGTTATAATAATAATATGTAACAAACTTTGCATAGATCCTCATTTAAGCATGGTGATGAGGTCTTGTGAGATAACTCTTCTTTATTTTTATTAGTTTTTAGTAATCTCTATAGCCAACATGAGGCTTGAATTCATGACCCTTGAGATCAAGAGTCACATGACCTTCAAACTGAGCAAGGCAGGGAACATGAGATAACTATTTTTATCTCCATTTTTTTTTGATGAGGAAATTGAGGGTAAGGCTGAGCAATAACTATTAAGTTTAAATCCTTGTTGAGCTGAATCCTGAGGTCATGCTCTACCTAGTCAGATAGCCTGCTCTTTTATTAGTATGGTGAATAATCACTAATAAATATTGTACTTTCTTCAAAAGAAAACTAAATCTTTGTTTTTGAGTCAAAGGAATAAGATGCTATTTAATGTTTACAATTACATGAATTAATTGCATGTTTTGAAATAGTGCACTATAATTTCCTAAAACGTTCTTTCACTTTCATAGGACTCCTCTCCATCTGGCCTGTACCATCGGCCATGCCGACATGGTGGATTTTCTTGTAGAGAGGAAATGCCAGCTTAACCTCTATGATGGAGACTGTAGGACTCCTCTAATGAAGGTGTGTGGTAGCAGCTGTGTCTGCCTGAGATGGATTTGATTTAATTACTTAGAATGAAAATTTATTGCAATTAAATGTAACTAATTGGTTGTAGCATGCTTGCTTTAAATTCCCAGAATTTACACTCTGTTTCTTGGGATACTACTGACAGGCTGTACAATGCCAGGAAGAGGCATGTGTAACTATTCTTTTAGAACACGGTGCTAATCCACATCTTACGGATAACTTTGGCAATACTGCCCTCCACTATGCTGTTGCTGGTGACAACACGTCAATAGTAGAGAAGCTGATATTATACCATGCAAATATTGAAGCAAGAAACAAGGTATGTCAACTTTATTTATAAAGTATTTGAAATTTTAAAACATATATATAAAATTTTTTAGCCACAAAACATTTATTTACATATTTATTCATATATGTAATAAATAATAAATACTGAATTCTATACATCAAGTCCTGTACCATGGAAACAACTCCAAAGCCAGGGCAGGGAGGACTAGAGAACGATGAAGCCCACAGAAAGGGGAGAGTTCCGTTTCCCAGCCACCCTTCCACCCCAGAAGGAAAATCTTCCTATTAGTGCTTGGGAGTGGATGGTGGGCTCAGAGCCCACAAAGGATTGAAGGCCTAGAGGGGAGTGAGTGAGGTGATGACGGAGGCTGGGTGCTGTGCAGGGGCTTAGGATATAGGTGCTGCTGGGAATGGGTGGGAGATCATGACCCAGTGGGGTAACTTGGGTGAATGCAAGTGGGAGGAGAAAGCAGCAGGTTGCAGTCCCTGGGCACTCCAGGCCCCAAGGTTCTCAAGATGAGAGCAAGGCGATCAGGTCATGACATCCTACAGGGGCATCTACTTGTGCTCATAGCCACTCTGCCTGCCATGTACCACATTGGGGTCTCCCATTTCACAGAGTAGTTCCTGCTCAGCATTGTGTAGGTCCTCAGGGAGTTAGTAGCTGTGCATGGGGAGTAGTGGAGGACCGTGCTCACTATTCCACTTGTTATTTCTTTGACATGACTTACCTCCTACCACTGCCCTTAAGGAAGCACTGTTGGTGGACATAGATAGGGTCAAATTTTCATACATAGAGCTTGAACATTCCCTGAATGAAAATATTTTGAAATAACTTAATTGTCTAAGATTTCAGTTTATTTTTATTTTTTAATTTTTTTTCTTGAGCGCGCTTTTTGGAAATATATGTTTGTAGGGACTGTAAAGAAAGAAAGAAAGAAAGCAGGAAGAAAGCACATATACAGGCTTATAAGAAGAGAAGCATATTCTTCACATAGCAAGAATTTTTATGCCTTGACTTCTAACCCAAGTAGTAATTCTGAGTAATTTTACATGGAATATGCGTTATTCTGCTCTAAGACCATGATCTAGTTATAGGAATAGAGAAGTGATCTATGTCTCTATGATTCAGTTGATATTAATACTAGTCTTTGATACATTTTCATTCTTAAATGCAGCAATTATCTACAATTGATTATAGTTATTAAGTTTTCGTTGACCCAAGTGCTGGTTTTCTTCAAGTTTTGAAAGAGGCCGGCTTTGGCTAACAGTGCTGTAAACTGTCAAGTCAGTTATTTGAAGTTTTAAGATTTCACTTTAATGAACTTTTTTTAAAGAAAGATTTTATGTATTTGAGAGAGAGCGTGAGAGAGAACACACATGAGTAGGGACGAAGGGCAGAGGGAGAGGGAAAAGTAGGGGAGCCTGATGCAGGGCTGGATCCCAGGACCCCGAGAACATGACCTGAGCCAAAGGCAGACGCTTAACTAACTGATCCACCCAGATGCCCCAGAGCTGCTCTTTTAATTCAGAGTCCATCTCCTTAGTGACCCATTTGGAGCAAGAGTGCTTTATGT